GGGCCGCTGTGGGACATGCGAGCGTCAAGAGGGGGCACACAGTGGGGTTATAAGAGAGTTTTTAGATAAGAGGATCGCATTTGGAAACTACAGAACCACTTTCAGACAGCGAACAGGTGTCCTATCACGTCCCAGCCTGCTCTTGGTTCGGTGGGCGCCGCGTTTCGTTGTTTTGCCTCGCACGCGTGCAGGCTAATGTAGTGTAACCTCAGTACATATGTGATCCTGGGTGCAATCGCACATGAGTTCATGCGTGTGTGTGTGTGTGTGTAAGTGTAAGTGTAAGTGTAAGAGTAAGTGTAAGTGTAAGTGTAAGTGTAAGTGTAAGTGTAAGTGTAAGTGTAAGTGTAAGTGTAAGTGTGTGTGTGTGTAAGTGTGTGTGTGTGTGTGCGTGCGTGCGTGCGTGCGTGTGTGTGCGTGTGTGTGTGTGTGTGTGTGTGTGTTCCAGCGCGACGTGCGATACATCTGTTTGCGCGCGTACACGCACCGAGCGCGCGCGCCACCGTGTGCTCGTGTCCACGCCCGCGTGCGTCGTCCACGTCCACCAGCGCCGTGCATGTGCAGCGCCACGCATTTGGCATCCACTTTCCCGTGCGGCTTTCCTGGCCTGCTGCGCCCGTCCGCCCCGCACCCACGTCCCTGAGGCGTTCAAGAGGGGGGTGATGTTTAGGGGTATATGGATGTCATGGCTTGGGTCGGGCCCAACCCAGCTAAAAGTGGCGTTACCTTGGTGTTATAGATGTCATATAGGCGGCCACAGGATGGGCACCAAATCGTCACCATATTGAGAGCCGTGGTGACATCGCCAGGCTGGTGCGAAGAGGCCCAGATACAAAATGTGTTAGATCAAAAGAACAAAAGGGAGGAGTGGGATGAGGGAGGAGCAATTGGAGGGGGGAGTGAGAGATGGGGGATGGGGAAAGGACGACGAGGGCAGGGGGCAGGGGTGCACATACCGGGGCAGATGGTGTCGCATGAATCTCGGAAGCAACGTCGAGATGAAATGCCACTCACCGCGCCGTTGGGTCAAGTTCGGCACTGGATTCGCCGGTGTCGGTGCCTGTGGCGTTCGGCTGTTGCCAGGGGTGCCGGGCCGGCAAACATATTTTTGTCAGCCCCAGCCGGCGGTCACCGCGGATTTTCGCCAACCCTGTAAAAAATGGGGCCGGCAAAAAATCGGTGGCCTTGTTTGGCACCGCGCGGGGGGGGGCCGGCAGACATATTTTTGGCAGCCCCTCCCCGCTGGCACCATGCGGGGACGGAAACGATGGCGGCGTCCAGGCATCGTTCTTGTTCGGTTGCCATGGGAGAAACAGCGACCCTGGCCATGACTCATGGCCAGGGTCGCTGTTTCTCCCATGTTGCATGGGCCTCTCGTTTTCTTCATTTTCCTATATTTGTTATTAGTATTCGTCTTCTTACGAGCATGCTTATTTATTATTATTCGTATCAGTATTGTGAGTAGTGTTATGCTTGTTCGTTATCTTTTGCTGATGTTTCTGAGAATTCTTTGTTATTCTTCCAACACGTGCACTGCCCCCCTCGTCCGCGCACATGCCTTCGCCGGCCAGCTCGGCGCCACAGCCGCCTCCATTGCCGCCGCCTTCCTCCTCCTCCTCCACCTCGTCCTCCTCCTCCTCCTCCTCGTCCTTCCCCTCCTCGCCTTCTACTCCTCCTCGTCCTCCACCTTCTCGTCCTTCTCCTCGTCCTCCACCTCCTCCTCCTCCTCCTCCTCCTCCTCGTCCTCCTCCTCCTCCTCCTCGTCGTCGTCGTCCTCCTCCTCCTCCTCGGCCTCGTCCTCGACCTCGTCCTCCGGGCCCCCCACCGCTCTTCCTGGCCCCGCGGCGCCCGCAGGCGCGCCCGCCCGTGAGCCTCCAGGCGGCTCTGGCGGCCCAGCGGGCCCGCGAGGCAAAGGATGCGGAGGCCCGGCGGGCCCCTCGGCCTCCCTCCCCCTCCCTCCCTCCCCTCCAGCCCGCCTCCTCCTCCTCCTCCTCTCCTCCGCCTCCTCCTCCTACTCCTCCTCCTCCTCCTCCTCCTCCCTCCTCCCCCTCCCTCCTTCCGCCTCCTCCTCCATCGCCTTCTCCCCCCTCCTCCCTCCCTCCTCCTCCTCCTCCTCCTCCTCCTCGCTCCTCCTCCTCCTCCTCCTCCTCCCTCCTCCCCCTCCCTCCTTCCGCCTCCTCCTTCTCGCCCCTCCTCCCACGACTCCTCCTCCGACTCCGACTCCGACTCCGACTCCGACTCCGACTCCGACTCCGACTCCTCCGACTCCGACTCCGACTCCAACTCCTCCGACTCCGACCCCTCTTCGCCCCTCCTCGTCGGGGCCCGGGCGGCGGGCGTGCCGTGGTGGTCGGGGCTCACGTAGCCCATAGCCCAGACCCCCTCGAGTCATGAAAAGATCACGGCGGGAGGTGTTTCGCCATTTTCAGCGTCCTGGGGCCCTCGCAGGGCCTCGGGGCCGTCAGAAAGCGACTCGGGATGAGGAACTGGTCCCGGGGAA